TGTTGGAGCCAATCCAACACAAGAGGTGAGGCCTTGCCCTCCCCTGTTTTCCTTACCGCCTGTCTGCTTGTTGAAACTCAATACTTTGAAGAAATTTCAACATACCCAGGATGTATTTTTCTGCTATCTGGCTTCACTAACAACGGTTGGCGTCTGTAGCTACCTGTCGGAAGCTCCGTCTTAAACCTGACTCTTATCCAGTTTTAATCCACACTTTTACGTTACATTTTTTATATCCTTTTATTTAACTTAAGTTTTATGTGGGTTAAGGATTTTAGTCATCCGACATGGATTTTAAGATAGATGACTGTAAAAACGCCATCAACGCTACTGACCACAACAAAGCTCCGGCGACTAAAGTTATGCTAGCTGAGATAACTGTGCCCCATGAGGACTGCGTACTCCTTAAGAAAGCGAAAAAAAAAGATTGCTGACCTTATGGAAGACATCTGAAGACTTTCAGAGGAACTCAAAGAGAAAGATTCCCTGCTGACTGGCTTTATGGATGTCGCTTCAGTACAAGCCAAACAGATTGTTTCCCTTAGCGCAACCGCTAACATCCAGGACACCGTACTATGGGACCCCTCTACCCTTTCATGGCTTTCCTCCTGCTCGACTCCGAAGCATCAGTCAACCTGGGCTGAAGTGGTGGTCCGTGGCTGCAAGAGAGGCTCGGACGGGGCTGCCTCTCCTCCGCACATTGGCCTCTCCAACTGTTATGCAGCCCTGTCTAATGACACTCCGGTCCATCCAGTGGATTCACCTGCGGCTTCGAGTCTCCCTGATCAGGATCTCTTTCGGCGGATAGTGCCTGCCGACACTGTTGTATCTCCTCCACTGGCTACATCTCCCGCGCTGGGCCGCCGGTCTGCCGCTGGGCCTGATCGGCGGCCGTCATCCCGGTCAAAAACCTCCGCTTCCCGACGTCTCAACCCTGCTCACACACTCCATCCTCAGTCCGCACGCAGTGTTGAAGCAGATTCTGCTCAGTCCTGCTCTGGAACCCCACAACCGGCATCTCCTCATCCCCTTTTCTCCCCAACCACACTAATAATTGGTGACTCCATAACCAGAAACATCCGTTTCTTTAACGCTACCACTCACTGCTTCCCTGACACAGCTCTTCAGCAGTCTGAGCTGCAAAATCAAATTTTAACCGTCTTTTTAACTTTTTAAAGCAGTGTGGAAAGTCTCTTCAATGTGAGATCACTGTCAAGTAAGACTTTTATCTTAAATGATTTTATCTTGTCTGCAAATCTAGATTTTATGTTTTTAACTGAATCATGGTTGCAAATGAATGACTATAGCCAGCTAGCTGAACTGTGTCCGCCTCAATATGATTGTTTAAGTCAACCGAGGGTCAGTGGTCGTGGTGGTGGGCTAATGAGCATGTATAGGAAAAATTTTAGATGTCATCAAGTACGCTGTGATGAATTTAACTCCTTTGAAGTTCTCACTCTTAAACTTGGAGGGCTGCAACCTATCATATTTGTTATAATTTATTGCCCCCCAAAACCCACCTGGAGGATTTTTATCAGAACTTCCTGAATTTTTATCTACTCTGGTTTTAAATTATGACAGAATTGTTCTTTGTGGCGATTTTAATATTCATGTTGATGACCCCAACAATGTTAATGCAACTGACTTTTTAAATATGGCCACTTCTTTTAACTTCAAACAACATGTCAAAGTGCAAACACATAACCGTGGTCATACACTGGACTTGGTTTTTACCCTGGGTGTCAGCATTTCCTCTGTGGAATTAGTGGACATGACCATATCTGACCACAGTTGTATTGTTTTTAGCTGCGATTCGCCTGTTACTCATGCCGCCTCATCAAGCTCCGTGTGTTCTCGCATCTTTAAATGAACAAAGTGTTTCAAAGTTTTGTGCATTCTTTCAGAGCCAAAGCCAACCCCTGTGATCACTTCAATCATATCTGCTAGTTGTCACTAAATATTACTGCTCCTCTAAAGGTTAGGCATACGTCTAAAGCTAGTAAGCAACCCTGGATAAATGACAGCATTCGCAGCCTAAAAAGGGAATGCAGGAAAGCAGAGCGCAGATAGAAAAAAATCCAGTCTCCAAGTCCATTACCTCAGTCTGAAGGATTTATTAATTAACTACAATAACATGGTTAAGGATGCGAGAACACATTATTTTTCTGAACTCATTACTACACGTAAACACAATCCCAGGTTTCTGTCTTATTTTACCAATAAGGTGGTGTCAATCAGAGCCTCTATTACCCCCACGGCCTCTTACTCAGAGGCCCCTCAACCAGTTTTATCCCATCGACTTGTCTGAGCTTTTAAAAACAGTATCACAAATGAGAGTGTCCTCCAGCCCACTTGATGTAATACCTGCAAAGTGTCCCTGATTATTTTAAAACGGCTTGCGTGACCCCACTTTTAAAGAAACCTGGTTTAGATTCCTCCCTCCTTTAGAGGAGCAGTAATATTTAGTGACGACAAGCAGATATGATTGAAGTGATCGACCAGATTGTTGGTGTTGGAATCAGACAGGTGTTGGCTTTGGCTCTGAAAGAATGCGCAAAACTTTGAAACACTTTGTTCATTAAAGATGCGAGAACACACGGAGCTTGGTGAGGCGGCATGAGTAACAGGCGAATCGCAGCTAAAAACAATACATCTGTGGTCAGATATATAATTTAAAATCAGAGTAGATAAAAATTCAGGAAGTTCTGATAAAAATCCTCCAGGTGGGTTTTGGGGGGCGATAAATTATAACAAATATGATAGGTTGCAGCCAGTTTAAGAGTGAGAACTTCAAAGGAGTTAAATTCATCACAGCGTACTTGTTGACATTTTTTCACACAATTGTGAAACAATTTTTTCCTATACACGCTCACTAGCCCACCACCACGACCACTGACCCTCGGTTGACTAAAACAATCATATAGAGGCGGACACAATTCAGCTAGCTGGCTATAGTCATTCATTTGCCACCATGATTCAGTTAAAAACATAAAATCTAGATTTGCAGACAAGATAAAATCATTTAAGATAAAAGTCTTACTTGAAAGTGATCTCACATTGAAGAGAACCATTTTAAATGTGTTTGTTCTGGGTGCTGGAGTTGGTGCAGTCTAATCCTTAAGAGATTACTATTATTTCTGTGTGGGATGTGCACAGCAGGCACTATCCGCCGAAAGAGATCCATATCAGGGAGACTCAAAGCCGCAGGTGCATCCGCTGGATGGACCGGAGTGTCGTCAGACAGGGCTGCATAGCGGTTGGAGAGGCCGATGTGCGGAGGAGAGGTAGCCCCGTCCGAGCCTCTCTTGCAGCCACGGACCACCACTTCAGCCCAGGTTGACTGATGCTTCGGAGTCGAGCAGGAGGAAAGCCATGAAAGGGTAGAGGGGTCCCATAGCACGGTGTCCTGGATGTTGGCGGTTGCTCGAAGGGAAACAATCTGTTTGGCTTGTACTGAAGCCACATCCATAAAGCCAGTCAGCAGGGAATCTTTCTCTTTGAGTTCCTCTGAAAGTCGTTGGATGTCTTCCATAAAGTCAGCAATCTTTCTGATCACTTTCTTAAGGTGTTTGCAGTCCTCATGGGGCACAGTTATCTCGGCTAGCATAGTCACCGGAGCTTTGTTGTGGTCAGTAGCATTGATGGCGTTTTTACAGTCATCTATCTTAAAATCCATGTTGGGTGACTAAAATCCTTAAGTTAAATAAAATGGATATAAAAAATGTAACGAAAAAGTATGGATTAAAACTGGATAAGAGTCCGGTTTAAGACGGAGCTTCCGACAGGTAGCTACAGACGCCAACGCATGGGCAGAGTGCAGATTACGTCAGCAATTACGTCAGCGATCTTGTGACTTAAAGTCACCAATGACCTTTTAATGTCTACTGGTGAAGGCATGTGCTCAGTCCTGGTACTCCTGGACCTTAGCGCTGCTTTTGACACCATTGATCACAACATCATGTTAGACAGACTGAGGCACTGGGTGGGGATCTCTGGTACTGCCCTAGAATGGTTTTCATCCTACCTGTCAGTAACAGTACTCTTAAGTGTCTCACCTAAAAGTCAAAATGACTGTAAGTGCTACTGGAATTGATCAATATAAGTTTAAACGCACTAAAATTAATACATCAGAGTTTAGCAGCTCATTTGTATGCAAAGTATCGTAGTTGTTTACATTCAAATCGGAGTTATTATGGTTATAATGACAATACTAGCCACGTCTGCCGGCAAATATGAAATGTATATGTATATTAATAAACTGTACTGTGCATGGAATAAGGAAATTATACATGAATTTTCTTTGTTTTTATATTGGCATTATATATTGGCCATTGGCCACCCTGCTCTCTAAATATTGACATCATAATAATGGATATGGAACTAATGGATATCAGCCATTGAAAAACCCATATAGGTCGACCACTAATGGATATCATGCGATTGGCTAAAGAAATTGACCATTTTATCTGTTCAGTGTTCATTTTACTCTGTCTTCTGTAAAAGAAAAATTCTTTATTGAAATTCATTATAATACATGGATGTAGCCAAAACATGCAGTCTGGGAATCATACAATTCAAATAACTGGATGGTGTGTGAGTTTTTCAAATGTAACACCCTGGAGGGGAATACATTAAAATAAGGAAGTAGTACATTAAAAGGCCTTGTAAACATCTCATAATTTACATGTCCTGCTATTATATTAAAGAGGCTGAAACATGGCCTTGAACATTAACATTATTGCAGCATAGCCACTTTTACTTTATAACAAGCGCTTAAGTTGCTGGCCTCACCACATTAACATTTCCCTCTTGAGATTCAAGAGTTTTTGTCTTCAGAGGAGGGCAAGAATTGAATCCTTGTTTATCAATATCAATAAATGAACATCAAAAACACTTTTGGTACAGTCCTGTTTTAAAATAGTGTGTTGTTTTATTGTGACGATGACATATTTTTTTTACAATGAATAATGAATAAAAGTATAAAAGACTGGTTGTCTTACCATAGTTTGGGCAGCAGACCTTAAGCCAGCAGACGCAGGATAGCACAGTGAGGTTGGAAAGACTGCACAGGCCAAACAAAACGCCACAGAAGGCATAGAAAGTACAGGTTGTCTGATTAAACAGCCACCTGAAACGAGAGAGAAACAGATTTTTTTTTTTTTAAATAGGTGAATGTTTTTTACTTATAAAATTAATATCAATCTAGAAAATAACAAATCATGAAGAAATGGGTCATTCTGCGTTCAGTAATAATGGTAGTATTACATTTTTAAAACTTTATTGTTATTGCACTAACCCAGCTTAAAATCAGTTTCCTTGAAAGAGACCTCATTAGAAAATGTTGTATTTGCATCTGTTTTGTTTGATTGACGTCCAGTCAGTAGTCAGTAGTGTATATATTAAGTTTTAAACATTAAAAAAGTTGTAAAGTTTAAAAAGTTATATTTATTTATAATAACAATGTATCAATAAGGATAAGTGGTTGACGATGGATGGATGATGTATCAAATGACAATTTGAAAACAATGTGACCATGCAAAATGGGGTCGCTAATTGTGAATAAGCTACAGAGATTTAGAGTGAGTGTCAGCCCACTCTAATGCTAGTTCACTTTTGACCCGCAACTATAATGTTTTTGGTTCACACTCACATAGCGTCACTTTCAGCGGCAGCATGCAGCTGTTTTTAGTGAAGGTGCGTCAATGTAATCAACCCGATCCGCACCAAAAGCCAGACAGGCAGTTAGCAACTAGCTGCTAGGATTTTTTGCACCCTAGAAAATTAATTATAAATGTTTTTTATTATTTGGTTTTATTGAAAAACAGTCAAATGTAGATAGAATTAATTTGAAGTTAAAAAGTTATCACCCTTAAAAAAACTGCCATTTGTATGCTCAGATTGTTAAAACACATTTTTACAGACACACTGAGAACATGACATCAGTGTCCTCGATGGTAGCTACAGCCCTGCATAAAATGAATGTTCAGATGACACAGTGCCTCAATAGATGGAGGAGAAAGAGGGGTGGAAACCCGAATGGCCACTTACACGTGAGTGTAAGATGAGGCGATAGCGAGTGGGAACAGGGTTATGGTCATGCCCAGGTCACTGATTGCTAGGTTAACCACAAAGAACTCTGCCGGCTTCAGGGTGGACTTCTTTCTATAGGCCACGAAAAGCAGGATCCCATTACCCAGCACCGACAAAACACCTACGAGACAAAGGATATATTAGGGCTGTTGGATTTGAACACACATTCACACAAATAAAAGTTGTAATCCCGGGGGGGGGGGGTCACATCACTTACCAAAAATTGTGTAGATAGTACCCATGATGAAGTCACTGTCTTTTGATACTGTGGACATGAACAGAAATGTTTCAGAGGCATTTCCCATCTAGAGCAAAAATGGAAAAACAGACAGACAGGGAAAAAAAGAAGGGGAGAAAAATCTTTAAACGTATGTTTTCGCCTTCAGGCAATTTAAGAAACAAGCAAAAATCGTCCAAACAAATTTACATCCTGGTGCCTTGGATAGGACAAAACACAAAGTGACTTGTGAAATTGGACCAGGGCTGTTATAATGCACTAAAACCAAGCTGCAATAATAAACACAGTTTAGCTTCACTTCACCTTCCTCAATTTTTTAATTAGAGGTCAAACCAGATTCAGATTGTCTCAGAAACCTGCTTCTCATCTGTGCTTATATATGATATTGCATCTCTGTCTTCATGGTTCTGAGGTTCAATGATGCATATCTCTATCTACAAGTTTGAAATTTAGATAAAATATGCACAATAACCTGCATCACACCACAGCACCCCCTCTGTCACAGGTTAGGTCGGTCATCAATTTTGTGTAAGTGTTGACATAAACCATAAAGGACATTTACTCCACCTCCTTCTCTTTTTAAAATTTAGAACACAAAGACTCATCAAATCCTAAAGAAAAGAAGATGCTGCTTTCAATTAAAAATCCAATATGATCCTTCATATCAAAATCAGTCTCACTTGGAAACCAGGCGGTTATTTGCATACAGAGCATGACTTGCTGCAAATACAGTATTCGTTGTGGCAATCTTTTGAAAGGAATTTATGGGTGGAGATAACATGAAAATTTATTCATAGCCTTTCTATTTACTCAATGACTTCATGCACTTACAGATTAAAGGCAGCCAACAAAGGGAAGAGACATGTTAAATCACCTGGGGATAAGAGTGGAGCTGCTTGTGGATAAATCCCTATTACCATGAACTCAGGAGATTATCTTCAAAGAGAACCAGAGGTGAGGAAATAATTTTAATGTTACTCTGTGTGGACTCGACTTAGAATTGTATGTGGCCTCAGTGTATATAGCACAGCTTGTAAGCACAGGTTTGTGAGTGAATGCAAGTACTTACTTCCTGCTTTGTTTCTTTGATACCCTTAAAATTAGGGTATTTGGTATCTTGTTTTAAAAAACATTTTTATGTATTCCTTGCCCACAATGCGACCAACAGGGTGAAGTTTTGAGTACTTACACTATATAAAATATGAAATGCAATAAAAGCTGTTACAGTTTTAATTGCTTTTTGCTTTAGAGACTGTTGAATTATATGAAAATGTCTTGTATGAACTCTTTCATAAAGGCAAAAAGCAAGGCTTCTTATCTGTAAATTTACATTTATGAATATGAAATTTGGCTGTCTCTCTTTTTGAACTCCAGCCGTAGATAAAGGTTTCAAACATTAATATTTGTTTTTTTTATCAGTAGTGTCAACGAATACTAGCCAGTCACAGCACAGTAGGGCAGGACTTGCCGTACTCACAGCTAGCATCAATCACAAAGATGCGTGCAAGTGAGAATATACATTATTGCAGCCCTTTTCAACAGAGTCCCAGAAGGTGTATTGTCTTGAGATGCTTCACATGAACTGCTGGTGCTGCAGTGGATAAGACACATGCCTTTAGTGTGGGAGACCCAGGTTCAAGTCCCACCATGACGCATTTACCGTTGTGTTGCTGAGCAAGACACTTAACCCCTAGTTGCTCCATAGGTGTGTGACCAATTGTTGTCATCATACGACCCCAATGAACGCTACAAGCCTCAAACAAGTTTCTCTGTTTACCATAGGTGTTGTTTTGACCTCTTGGAAGTAGGTGACATTGTGCCCTACTCTGCATTCCTTTTCGAATATTCCCACAGATATTCAGTGGGGTTGAGGTCTGGTGACTGTGGAGCGAACGGATGGAACATGGAGATGCTTTATTGAGCCCTGAGGGGTCAGCAGACAATAAGTACACAGATAAGTTCCTCAAGTGAAGGAAACACATGTTTTATACAAAGAATACATTGCTTACACAAGTAGTAATTAAATTGTCAATATTATGAAGATACCATATGCAAGAACAACATAAACACCACTGTACCACTAAATAAAATTAAAGGCCTACAGCAGAGGTCACTAATTAGAGGACTGAGGTCCTGATCCGGACTCAGCCGCTGTCCTCTCCGGACCCGGACCTACAGGCGATTTATTATTGAGAATTACTACCTTGTGACGGAGAATTTCTATTTTAAACCGCGCAGCTTTTCTAGCATTTACTGTACTGGTTTAGCGGCCCAGGAAACTCACAGACCAATTGCATGTGTTCCAATTGTCTCATGTGATGTTGATTCATTGCGAGTCGAGTCTGCGAAAGAGATACACACAGGGAGAAAGGAGACGAAAGATTAAAGCGACTTCACATGGCTTTTAATCAAGAATGTACAGATTCTTACATGTACATTCTTCCCATGGGCAGTTCAAAACCAGAATATCTCACATATCACCAATCCTAGCCAGAGCTCACATTTTTCACAGAACAAGAGAAAGTAGGAAAGTGGTATAAAAGAAGGAATGAAAGAGAAGAGGAGGTATTAAAGCTGTTCATTTGTTAAGAGGTGTTGAGTGTTTATTACAAAATTGGTTGAGGCTACACTTCAATCATTTCAAGCTACACTTTTTACTTTATTTTTTTCTCTCTACATACACTGCAGGTCCCCCTTACACAGACGTCGCAATGTTGTGCCGTTATGTTTCTACAGTAGCCCAAAATGGACAAACAACGCTACAGAGCGCATCTTCTTCTTTTTTGTAGATTTCTGGCAGTGTAGACGTTCATAGAAGAAGAAGTAATAATGTACAGCAGGTGTCAGCTTTTGTTAAGTTTTACATGGGACCACCCATTAGATGGTGGGTGAGAATATAAGACATAATATTTACACTGCATGTTTAGGTGTTTGGTTTGCTCAGTTGGCAAAGGGCAAGACTCTCACCAAGAAGGTTGTGAGTTTGATCCCATGTTGGGAGAAAAAGAAGCGACTGTTTCACATGCTCACAATATATTTAATTATTTTTTTCCCGCTATCAAAGCACCATAATCTGGCCACAGATTATTATTGCTGGCGGGCAGTTTTGGCTAGATCCATAATCACAGAGAGAAGTAATTTGTTTTCTTTGTCAATGTTTGTATAAATTTAATCTATTATGTGGTTTATAATGGACTGTGGTGCAGAAACAGTGACAGTGTTTCACACTCTTGGCTAACATTTTCCATGTTATCTGTCAGTGGAGAAGTCGCAATAACATATGGTTTTACTGAATAATTAAGTAAATGTCATTTCTTAATATATCTACTCAAAGAAACCTAATTTCTTGACTGGCTACTCTCTGCTGTCTCAGAAGTCCTACACTCTTTGAAAAGTTTAGGGGGCAGTGGTAGACTGGACAGTTGGTTGCAATTCGCAACCTCACTGCTAGATGCCACTAAATCCTTAAGTTTTGATGTGCGTTTTACTAGCCTAGGCTTGATCGTTTACCAATTTATGTAATGTTCCAATTATTACTTTAACTATTTGACCCAAATTTTCTTTTGACTATTTGACCCTCACACTTAATAGTACCTTGCTAATTCCAGCCTATGTTAAGTTTTCATCGGGTGTGCATGAAAATAAAATTGTGTTTTAGAGTTTAGCAAATTGTTAACCATTAATCTGTTGGTTACTTTAAAACTAACCTTCATCTGGGTGATCACAGGCATATGTGAATATTTGATGTTAACTGGCTGTATATATCAGATTTATCTCATGACTCATTAGAGATAAGTTGCTGCTCTTAAACATTGTCCATTTAAAGGTTCAGTGTGTAATATTTACGAGGATCTATTGACAGAAATGTTCTGTTCATCTTACATGGACATCACCATGTTGCGCCACCATGTTTTGACAGTAGCCCAAACAGACAAACGGTGCAGTTCACAACCTTCAACACTAAATGCCACTAAAACTTACACACTGAACATTTAATCAACTGAGTCATGGATAGATCAAACTGACAGATAGACAGAAGGTTTGCAAAGTGATTTCATGGTACCTAGGTTTCATGGTAGGAAAAGTATTTTTAGTATGTTTGAAATACAAAAATACTGTAATTTCTTTGATACCCTTAAAATTAGGGTATTTGGTATCTTGTTTTAAAAAACATTTTTATGCATTCCTTGCCCACAATGCCACCAACAGGGTTAGGGTTTCTGCTGTGTTACGCAAGTAGCGGCTAATGTAGCCTCGAGCCAGTAGCATTGAACAGAGATGAGAAGCCATTTACAGATGGTAACCTTACTTCTTTCCAAAACCATACCCCCAGATTTTCGTTTGGGAGATTGGGGATTTCAACCGACAGCATCAGCAGTGATTTTGCAGAATGTTAAAGAAGTATCTGTCAAAAAGAGACAGACTTATTCTGTGCTTTCAGATACTGTGTCTGCCTGCCTGTCTAACTTATTTCCCACTTCCCCTTTCCCTACTATGATGTCCTCTGAGCAGTGTCAGGGGTACAAGGGACATCATCTGAGAGGATGAAGTCAAGAGAGAGATACTGAAAACTAGAGAGAGGCAGGGTAAAAGGGATAAACCCTGGCTCACCCCCATCAGTTTGAGAGGGGGGAAAGTCATAAAGTGACTGCCTGTAGCTGAATGGTGAAATTGGGGCTAATCATTGTCAAGGGCAACTTAAGCTTCGCCGTCATACTAACTGAAGTTACAGTCTACACACACAGATATATACAGAAACACACATACAGTACAAAGAGAAAGAGATGGCAAAATTGTCAAGGAGAGCAAAGAGGCGGAGACTTGTAAAAGAATGGGAGGCTGGAACAAATAAGCGAGGACAAGTGAAGGATGAGAGAAATCCTATAACTGAAACTGTCAGAAGCACAGGATTGAAATGACTGACCCATAAGACGAATGGGACAACATTCAGATACTGAAAACGTCCATCCTGCAGACACTTATCATTGAATACCCTTGTGAAATGCAAAGTCATTGAGAGGATACAACTGAGAATGTGTTTTTCCTGAACACCGCTGGGAGACAGAT